ATTCCAAGTAGCTACCCTAAACCTATAGTCTTGGATTAGTTTCTTTACCCCCGCTCGTCCAGAAAAATGCGGAAACCTTTGCCCATTTTTCACCGCACCTAGGCGTCAATACAGCATCCCTTGCTCAGTTTCCAAAACACCCAGAGGCAAGCGCAACACGTCAATTGAGGGGAAAACCTAGTATTTAAACGTTTCAAAGTAGGATTCATTGTCATAAGGGATTTGAGCGGCTTTTTTACGTGTTGGCTATCGGCTATCTAACACACAACCCTCCTCCTTAACCCGGGTTTGGGACCGACGGAGTTGTTAACAACCCCTGTGGAGTTGATGAAAAAATTCGATATTGTAAGAAAAAATTAGAAGGCATAATGGCCAATGAAAAATTAAGATATGAAAATAATGTGGCTCATACGATTAATATACATATTTTTGAAGAGTCAATCATTCATAAAGAGCCAAAGTATGTGGCTCGAAGGGTTAATACACCAAGTCATGAAAATAATATGACTTTGGAGAATTTTTATAGGCCATTGATGGCTAAAATTAAAAAACAAACCCTTTTCTCAAAAATATTGAGAATTCTGATGGTAAAGGTTCACTTGGGGGTCATAATGTTTTGCCAAACGTGGCAAAAAGTAACAAGCCATTAATGGCTAAAAAAGAAAAATAACCCCTTCTCTCAAAAAATATTAACAAATATCATAAAATGATGGTAAAAATTCACTTGGAGCATGATTTAAAGCCAAAGATGGTTGAAAATTAAGAACTTGGGGGCATGATTTTAAGCCAAATGTGGCTGAGAATTATGAACCCGCATTTATTGAATGTGAATTTTTTGACATTATTCAAAGTATCAAAATTTATGAATTTTTCATAACATTCAATTATGTGAGTTTGGAGATCCAACATCCACTTTGGATTTGTGGATCACACCAAAAATTAATTTTCATGACATGGCTTGAAAAACAACAATGGTTAAAAAATGCTATAGGTAGCGAATTCTCTTTAATTAGTCAAAATGTGGCTAACATAGACTTGTTTTTTTTATTTTAAATAAGGGATGTGACTCTTTGTTATGTCAATCGACAGAGCCAAAGATATAATGTTCATAAATCGACATCGATAGATTAAAAATTACTATGGATATAATATGACTCTTCAAGAATTCTAATTGTTTGCACCAAAAAATATTTTTTGTCAGTTGTGGTAAAACATCTTATAAATCATTTAATTAGATTTCATTCTTCAATTCATTTAAATTAGGGAGGCATTATTTGCACCGCATTGTATTTTTTTATCAATGATGGCCAGTTGATTATGGCCAAGTTCGATTATGGTCTGTCAATTAAGACCATAGACTATTTTTAAGAATAACCTTGGCTACATTTGTTTTTATTATTATTATTTCTATCGACAGGCATGCTAATGTGGCGTGCCAGATGTGCTAAGGACGTAGCATGATGACATGTTAAATGGAGGGCCAGAAAGTTAGCAATTGAGCAATTTGAAAGTTAGTTGCTAAGATCAAGGAGTCAAGATCAAATCAAGAACCAAATCTGCAAAATGGTTCTCATCAAAGATGGGATATGTATCATGTTGAGGAAATCATGGGCTTGTTGAGGAAATTGTGGGCTTAGATTATCTCTTTTTCTCATGTGGCTGAATATATAAATGGGTCAAGAGAGATACCAAATCAAATATCAAACAACCACCAATCACACTTACAAAGAGTTTATCTAGGAGTAGTTTAACTTGGCATTTTTAGGAGTAGATTAAATCAGTAGCTTTTTCCAACCCCCACTTTTTTTCTTTCTGTCGATTTGTAGCGACCCTAATTTTTTGTAAGTCATTATTTATTATTATTACTTCATTTTATTTTTGACTTTATTAATTGTGTGGATATATGAGAATTTAATTAATTTAATATGTTATTTATTATATATAATTAATATGATTATTTATATTGATCTTATATGGAATATTTATATTTATATATGTTGTATTTATGATTTATTTGTATAATATGATATAAACGGTCAATTAAGTTATAAGCCTTAGAGGCTCACTAAAACAAAAAAAAAAAAGGGCAGTAGCACCAAATTCTGAGAGAGAGAGAGAGAGAAAAAAAAGGGATTAGGGTTTTATTTTGGTGGCTTTATTAATTCTCTAAATATTTTTTTGATTTTCAAAAAATAATTATAAGTGCAAAACCCACTTTCCTTGATTTATTTTTATTGTGTTGTTATTATTTATTTATTTTTATTGATTTGATTTTGGTTTGATATTGTATTTGCATGAAGATAATTGATTGATTTCAATTACTTGGATTAGTTGTGTATGCAAGATTTAAGATTTTTATATGTATTTATTTTATAGTTTAATCACACTCATAAATATATGAAATTAAAATAAACTTAGAATCCATGGATAAATTCTGAATACTCCACCACAACTCCATGGATTGTTATTTTATTTGAGTGTTGGTGGAAAAGAGTGTATAAAAAAAAGGTGAGGATTGTGAGATTTATTTGAATGTCTTACGCTTGGCATTGTTATGTTTGTTCTCATGAATAGATGTGGGATTGTGTATACATATATATTGTTGCCTCGTTCTCAAGAGTGATGAGTGCTTTGATTTACATGCGTACGTATATATTAACCATCCGAGGAGTATGGGTCAAACTCGAGACAATATCCCTATGTAAGTTTGGTTTCGGAGCAGTGTTAGGTATACGGAAGGCACATGGGATATATGTGTATGTTGAAAGTGAAGGGCCGAAGTGGAGTTAAAGTACAAAGAATTAAATATGAACTTATTGGTATAGTTTGAATTGTTTTTATTTGTACATTTTGAAAAATAGTGAACGATCTTGATAAATTACGAAATTTGGGCAGAGACATGTATACGTAATTCTAGACAACTTCTGTATTTTAACTTTTTACTGAAAAGATCGATTAGAACTTGTAATCGGATAATCTTGGTTACAATAGTTTTATTTATTTTAGCAATGCATATTTTAGATGCTGTTTTAACCCACGAAATGAGCTCATTTTTATTGATTTTGCATGAACTGAAGTAAACATTATTCTGAACACTTTTCGTGTTTTGAACTTTTTCAAAAAAATTATCTTAGGACTGTTTCTTTTCGTTTTCAATTTTAGATTTTTCGATCGAATTCCGTTTAAGTTCTTCTATCAAGTTTTTCTCTTAACCTGTTCAGTTTCTCCTAAATCATTCCACGTTACCTTTTAGAAATGTTGATTCACTTTTATTCTTTGAAGTTTGGTCAATTCGAATGATTTAAGTATGAAACGGGTGCGTTTTTATAATTCTTCAGCAATTTACTTATAATAAAATTATGCTAACTTTTTTTTTTCTTTTTTGCAAAATGGTGAGTCTTACAAACTTTTTTATACAAGGCTGATCTACCATATTTATTTTTATTTTCATTATTTTTTTTATATACTTAATTCATATTTAGTTGTGTATGGATAAAAAACTAAATGCCACTGTATCTCAGGAAACTACCCCTTTCATCTCGGTGCAAGTGGAACTATTTGTCTTGTCCCGTAACAAGAATTAAATGTACTTTTATTTGTGTCTGATGGACACATGGGTGTCAAATCTTGTACTCATAGCAGTATACTTGTATACTGACTCGCTTTCTCTCTTGACATCTTGGGTGCATTCTGTTTGAGCACAATCGAACTTTCTTTGCAGGATTAGTTGGGACTACGGTGGTGACGAGAAATAATTACGATTGTAGGACATGTCTTTCAGACTTCTTTTGTTTTTTGGAGTTTATGATTGATATTAGTTTATTTATTTATTATTTGTTTATGACTTTAGTATTTTGACAATTTGACATTGTAGGTTATTTTTCAACTTTACATTATTTAAGTTGTTTTGACTAGTTATTACTACTTTAATATTGGAGGTATTGGATAGTTATGAATTTATGATGGATGGTTTGGTTGGTGTTTGTTAATTTTTTTTTATCCCTTGTATTTTTTTGAGTATTGAAATTTACTTAAACCTTATGGTGACGAGAACTTTTCGATTTTGTTTCACCCCTAGGATTTGAATGATGGAATATTGATTGGGGTTTAGTCCTAATTTAATATTTAATTGTCTAAATTTTAAGACGTGACATGATTGTTGTATTTCTTCATGTTTTTGTTCTTGTTTAAGTTCTTGTAACTGGTAACAAGTGACAATATATTCGAATTAATACGATGGCGTTTGGTAACATTTACGTTTTTTGTTTATGTTTACAAAAAAATTGCGAACTGGTTTTTGTTTATTTTTAAAAAAAATATAAACTATAAACGCGTTTAGTTTGGACAAAATATTTAAAAATTTTTAAAAATATAAATTAAAAAATATGTTTGTTAAGACCTAAAACATTTATATTTATTTTTTATTATTTTTGACAATGAGATCATATACATTATAATAAGCATTCACAATAACTATGTGGGTGCTGTGTGTTTATGATTCATGTTTGATTTTATAAAAATTCAAATTAGTTTCAGTATTTTTATTCATTCACTAAAACATGAGCAAGTAATATATATTATATGTAGGTCACTAAGATCTATGAGTTCCTTTGAAGAAGAAGAAGAAGAAGAACTTATAAATAACATGCCCTCTACAATTCTTTATAAAAAACAAAAAAAAAAGCTTTTGCAGAACCCAAAGTTACTCATCCTTTTTTCTTTCTTCTTTTTTTTCTGGTGGGTTTTTTTTCTCAATAACTTCACATTTCTAACATTAACCAATCTTAACAGAAAGATTGGAATACTGAATTCATATAGATGTCTATGGCTTCAAGGAAATTACAGCAAAGAAGGTCATGTAATATAGAAGGCTATCTGAAATAAAATTTCTCAAAAAAAAAAAAAAGAGAAAAGAACAACCCAAGCAACAAACAAACAAACAAACAAACAAAATGGCTATCTTCATACAAATTGCCAACAACAAACAAAAAAAGAAAAAATGACCAGCATAATATATGTTCTTTAAAAAATATAAAAAAAAAATTTACAATGGATCTAGAACAGATCTACAAAGAACCATCAACAATATTTATATATAAAAAAAAGTAGTTATGTTGTTCAAAAAAAAAAAAAACCGCAAGCTCTATGTGAAACAGAGAGCAAGAGAGAAGAGAGCGAAGAGAGAGAGAAAGAGACCTGAGATCGATTTAGTTGGGACATTTGCAACGGATCTACAGATTTGTTGTTTAGAGTAAAAAATAAAAAAATAAAAAAACATAGAAGCTTGGTGAAACACAAGGAAGAGAGAGTGGAGAAAGACTGACCTGATCTTCAAGGTTTTTGAACATAAAGCAGAGGAAGAAGATGATGTAAGGTTAGATACAATGTTTATATTATCGTTGATTGGGAAATTGAAATGTGCTGCTCCGTAGATTCGAAACATAGTCTCTTGAGTGTCCACTTTGATTTACTGTAGCTCCACTACAGTAAACTTCCATTTTTGTGTTTAAAAATCAATGTAAACTTATTTTTTGAGTTAACAATTTTTTTTTTTGTTAAATTTACAAACTGAGAAATATTATTTATAAACCAAACAAGTTTTTATGATAATTTTTAAATTTTTGTAAATATAAATTAAAAACTGAAAACAAAATGATTACCAAACAAGGCCTACATATTTTGTTCTGTTCAATTTCCTCTTCATTTAATTACCTCCAAGGAACTCCTTAATCTGTTTAAGGTAAAAAATTCAATCATAAAATCTGATTTTTATTTGTGTTTACTTGAAATTTATTTAAATTTATCGATCAAATCATTGTCGATTAGACTTAAACTAAATTTTTACGAACAGAGCCCCATAGAAAAATTCTTGATGCCATTTGCATTACTCCCTTCCCTTACTAAAAATTAACAAATTTATCCTTACTATGTATTTCGTGCTTAAAATAATAATAACAAAAATAAAAAAAAAAAACTTCAATTGAGCAATGGAATCCAATAAGTACTGTAAATTTAAAAGTTTAGGTGGATATTTGGACAAGAGTTGGCCTACCTAAACCATAAAGTGAAATTAATTTTGATGAAAATACAAGTAGTAGTTGGAAGCTTCTTGTCAAAGTATTCCATCAATTTTGGCAACCACGCTAACGCACAGGACCATTGGGACAACCACACCAATGCATTGGACAATTGGGGCAACCACTTTCCTATGCATGCGTAAAAAGGAAACTGCTTGGACCATTGGGGCAACCACTTTCCTTTGTATGCATGTATGAAAAGGAACCGCTTTGTAATTGATTATATGTCAAAAATGCCTAAATATCCTTGCAATAATTGTTATGGGTAATCCATGTAGAGTCTTTTTCTTTTTATTTTTCTTATTTTTTTATTTTTTTCTTTTTTCTTTTTAACATCATAATAATTACTATTATGTTAAGAAACATCGTGAGAAGAGGGGAAAAAAAAAACGTATGATAAAATATACCTCAAAATATTTGTTATGCGTCAATTTAATAGTTCAAGTTTTAATTTTATTAATTTTGTTTCTAAAATTTTAATTTGACTCATATTATTCCAATTTTAGATGTCCGTTTAAATCATTAAAATTCACATACTGTCCTTACAGTAAATTATACATTCTCTTCACTCTAATCTCCAAAATTTTAATTTTCTCAATTTCATGACCAAACACTATAATGCTATGTCTTATCTTTTTTTCATTAATATTTATAGAAAAAATTGATAAAATTAAAAAAATTGTAGACCGAATTGATATGAAACGGACACTTCATGGACTATAGGTGTATTAAAAATTTTAGGAATTAAGTTAAACAAAATTAAAATTTGAATAAGTAAACAGTTAATGCATGCTTGACGGACCATATATATTTGTATTTTACCCTACTTCACAATTCAATATTTAACTGGAAATAGGACTTCCCCATTGCATCATTTCAATATAAACAACCTTCTTTTTTTTTTTCTTTTTGTGGTTAGCTCTATGGAAACTATTCATAAGCCAAACAAATACATTGATTCGAAAGGAAAATGTTATCTATCATGAAAATTTATCTAAAATATACGGCGTGAATTATATTAACAGTCCTTATAGTTTGAGATTTGTATTACTTTAGTTCCTGACTTTTTAATTGTGACGCATTTGACCTTGCATATTGAATTTTGTTCCAAATAAGGACAATTGAAAATACCATTACTTAATTTTAAGGACAAAATCATCAATTTGATAAAATATAAACTAATTTAACAAAAATAAATATCAAAAAAATTTAAATTTTAAAAATTATTTCTATCCACCAAAGATAAAATTATAGATAAATATTTTAGACATTTATTTATTTACTTTCTTTACTAAATTAATTTTTATTATGTGTTTGGATGATGATCACATAATGGGTGATTGTTAAGATTTTAATGTATAATCGATATATTTAATATATGAAATGTTTTTAGTTTTAAATTTTTTGATTTAATGGATTAGTTTAATAATGATATCAAAACTGTCGCTATATTTAACTTTTGAAAAAATAGAAACTAATTTAATGAAAATAAAAATAACCACTCATTACATAATTATCATTCAAACACATAATAAAAATTAATTTGGTTAAAAAAATTAGTAAATAAATGTCTAATAGATTTATTAATTTTATATAATTTTATCTTTAGTAGATAAAATAATTTTTAAAAATTCAAAATTATTTTTTAAGATTATTTTTATCAAATTAATTTATATTTTATTAAATTGACGATTTTGTCCTTAAAATTAAGAAATGATATGTTCAATTGTCCTTATTTAAAATAACATTTAAAATTTAAAATCAAATATGTCACAATTAAAAAATTAAGAACTAAAATAATACAAATTTTAAATTATAAATATTGTTACTATAATTCGTCATTTTAAAAAAATATATAATAATAGTGGATGTGAAAAGTTGTCTAACTACTTTTTTTTTTTTTTTTTTTGGGTACAACAGAATTAAAACAACAAAGAGGAACTAAGTCCTCATCCTACCCAAGCCTATCATATCAGCAACAAGCAACTCTTAACCCAGCTGGTGGATCATTCATCACCAATATTTCTTCAAGTTGATTGGCTCGCATTTTTGCCAAAAAATCAACACAAAAATTGCCTTCTTTCGATACATGTTGCACAGAGCAATCACACACTCTGAGAAGAATCTGGACATCCTCTACTAGGTTCTTGAAAGGGCATCTATCCCCTGATTCTTCTTGTAACAATTGCACTACCTATTCGGCATCGGTCTCGATCATGACTAACATGAGCTCCTATCCAACCAGTCAGTTTGGTACCCCTCATACATATATGGGACCCCAAAAAAATTGCTACATTAAATATTAGTCTTAAACTTTACGCTAACCCAAAAAAGAAAAAGAAAAATAAAAATAAAGAGTTGGAAATACCAAATAAACCCTTAATTCATACTCTCTTTGGGGATGAATCCATACTCCCAAAATGATTCTGTCTCTATATATGTGTGGAACTCACTTGTATATATATATAAAGTCCACATCATAAATAGTCTAAATTTGTGAAGAGTTTTGGAGAGATCTTGTGAGGTGAAGATCTCAATCATTACTCATTCATTTTACAAGTCATAAAAAAAAAATTTTGAATAATGATAGAAATTCTAAAAATTTTACCAAATATCTTATATAAGTATAGGACTTATATCATGTGAGCTATATGTAAATCTCAATATTTAAAAAAAAAAAATTTGATATAACTTTTAGGATATCTATCTAAAATTTTTGGGGAAAAAAAAAAAAATCCGTACAAGCCAAGCCTTATAGGACCCTATTGAAAAAGAACACTTTGAAAATCCTTATATAAAGAGATTGATAATACCAACCTCAACCCTCCTCACCTCACAGGTACTAATGGCAGCTTCTAAAACTTCAATTTCATCTCTCTTTCTCCTTTTTTTACTCCTGGCTAGATCCTCAGCTTCCCTGAGCAGGACTCACCGTGCTCACCACCCTTGTAAAACCATGATATTTTACTTCCATGACATCATTTACAATGGCAAGAATTCAAAGAATGCCACTTCAGCCATTGTAGGGGCACCGGCTTGGGGGAACTTGACCATATTGGCAGGGCAAAACCATTTTGGCAACTTGGTTGTGTTCGATGATCCCATTACACTAGACAATAATCTACACTCAACCCCAGTAGGTCGTGCACAAGGCTTCTACATTTATGACAAGAAGGATATTTTCACCGCGTGGCTTGGGTTTTCCTTCGTTTTCAACTCAACCGAACATAAGGGGAGTATTAACTTTGCAGGAGCCGATCCATTGATGAACAAGACTAGGGATATCTCAGTGGTTGGTGGCACAGGTGACTTCTTCATGGCTAGAGGGGTTGCCACTTTGATGACCGATGCGTTTGAGGGGGAAGTGTATTTCAGGCTTCGAGTTGATATCAATTTGTATGAGTGCTGGTAACAAGCAGTGCCGATAGCATTGTACTCATCCTGGTGGAGTGTAGTTTTTTTTTCTATGAAAAATTTAAATAAAGTTTTTTTGTGGCTTATCATTGTGTTACCTCTGTTCCAAGTTTTTCTTGTTTGTTCACTAATCTACAATTGAAAATATTTTGACTTGATTTGCAAAGTGTTTTTTTTTTGGGGGGGGGGGGGGGGGGGTGTAAACATAGTTCCCATAGAGGGTAATTGCGTCTATTTAAAAATTTTGGTAGCCCTCACAAATGGGGTTCCCAACTCTTTACTCTGACTACCACTATTTATTTATATATTTAAATAGAGCAAGGATCCTCTAGAGTGATTTTTCCCTAAAGTTTTGTAGAGTGCTACATTGTGTGGTTGAGATTGACTGGCAAATCACATCAATTTTTCTGATGTGACTTGCCAGTAAATCTCAACCACACAATGTAGCACTCTAGGAAACTTTAGGGAAATTTCACTCTAGAAGATCCTTAATGATTTAAATATGGGCTGCAAACTATGATGTGATTTGGACTTTTGGGATAAGTTAGTATTAATTTGCCAGCTGAGTTAGAAAGATTTCATTATTTTCATTTTCAATTTTCTCCCTCCTGCCTCTTGGAGATAATGAAGATCAAACTCAAATCCTTTGATCAAGCAATCTCTGCAAATCATCAAGTATTTCACTACTCTGATTAATTAAATCTCTTAACCTCAAATTGTTTTATAATTAATGAAGTTAGTTGTAAGCACATAGTCTATCTATATTTTATCATTAATTTCACAATTAGCAACCATATATATATGTATATATATATTAAGAAGATTAAATCATAGCATATACAAACTAGTTTGCCAGTTATCTCAATCCTTAACCAACCAACCAAAAATGAGCTCTAAAAAACTCAGTTCAACTCTCTTCCTCCTCCTCTTTCGTTTTGCAACCACCATTCTCACACACGGCCACAAAATCCACCCTCGCCTCGCCGCCCCTGTAAACAAATGACATTCTACTTCCACGACATCCATTACAACAGCGACAACTTCAAAAACCATAGTAGGTGCACCTGCGTGGGGCAACCTAACTCACGTGGCAGGGTTCAACCATTTTGGTGACTTGGTTGTGTTCGATGACCCCATCACTTTAGACAACAATTTGCATTCGCCCCCAATTGGGCGAGCACAAGGATTTTATTTCTATGACATGAAAAACACTTTTAATGCTTGGATTCTGTTTTCGTTTGTTTTCAACTCAACTGAGCATAAGGGGACAATGAACTTTGCCGGTGCTGATCCAATTATGGCGAAGACTAGGGATGTGTCGGTGATTGGTGGCACCGGTGATTTCTTCATGGCAAGAATATAGCTACTGTGAGCACTGATGCATTTGAAGGAGATGGTTATTTTCGGCTTCGGGTTGATGTGAAATTGTATGAATGCTGGAAATGAGTTTTTGGTTATTATTATTGCTGTTCTTTTCTTTTGTGAATCAAGGTTGTTATTGTGTTTCAAATTTCAAATAGTTTCATTAATGAATTTGACATTTTATTTTATTTTATTTTATTTTATTTGTACGGTTTACATCCCCTTCTCATCGATTTTACATGACGGCCCTTTTTTTTTTCTTTTTTTTTTTTTTTGGCTGGGGCTAGGATTACATTTTTATGGTTGGGCACGTCATGGCAATTTTAAAAATGTCAAATTCATTGAAATTCTTTTAAGCACAACAATTCTTAATTCAAAAAAAAAAAAATTAATGGTTGGCCACATCATGTCAAAATTTTTTTTTAAAAAAAAAAAAAATTGAAGCACTATGTAACAATGAGTAATTTATGACAAAAGTCATTAAATTTTACCTATTTTTTCAATTACGCATACAAACTAAATTTTGTTCAATTAAACCTTCTAATTTTTCAATTTTTTTTTATTTTGTTATTATTTTGTAGTTAAACACAACGGTCTTGTTTTTTTTTTTTTTTTAAACCTTTAGATTATAGTAATTATTTTTTAAAAAATTTAAAATTATTTTTGTCTCGTAAAATATAATCAAAAACTTGACCAAACAGAGTTGTTATACAATAATAGTTGAAGGTAGGGGGTGGACATGTCGGGTCGGGTCAGATCGAACTAAGGCTCCGTTTGGCAAGTTGGGTTGGGGGCTTTTTTGGCTATTTTAGTCACAAAAGACAAAATAGGCTATTTTAGTCACAAAAAACAAAACATCACATCCAACCCATAATCATTACTCTCTTCTCTCACAAAAAAAGTCAAAAAAACCAAAAAGTCAAAAAGCCCTTCCCAAACTAAACTTTTTAGCCCAGGCTAAAATAGCCAAAAAAGCCAAAAAGCCAAAAAGCCAACCCACTTCCCAAACCAAGCCTAACACTATATAATAACTTAATAAGGAACTTTGTGTCTATCTAAGACCGGCCCGGTCCTAACATCGGACCTCTACATCTGTCCAAGCCCGACCTAAAAAATAATTATAAATCACAAACTCATCCTCTGGCTATATATTAAAAATCTTTAAAATATTTCATAATTAAATTCAGTCACACATTATATTTCTTAAAAAAATATATTAACATCATTATAAATTGAATAATTTCTTAAATAAATTCAATCACAAATCATCACAAATATGAGTTTTAATAAAATCAATAAAGATAAAATCTACATTCTAACAAAAAATATATATTAATTTATTATAATTAATTAATTAATTTAATAATGGGTTGGGCTGGCTAGATTGAAAATATAAATCTCAAATCCAACCCATTAATATATCAGACTGAAAATGTTAACTCTGTTTGGTTTAATGGACTAAAACAACTTTTTCAAGCTCTAAAAAAATAAGATTGGGTCTGGCAGACTGAGCAGACCAATGGGCCCATGTCTACCTAGTTGAAGGATAGTTTGTTAAAATCAATTATAAATTTATTTTTCTAATCTTAAAACAAACAAACAAACAAAATCATAGAATTTTGCATTTTCCTATGACGAAATTATCAAAAGTGGCAAATTAGACTAATTTAATTTAAAAAGTTTGAGGGATTATTCAAGCTAAATTTTTTAATTTTAATTTCGTGGTTTGCAATTTTGTCGCAATTCTCGCTTCAGCCCCCAAACTTCGAAGCTCTGTAATCTCAATCCGAGTCTCTTTCTCTCAAGCTATCTTCAATTCTTCACTTCTCTAGTCGAATTGTTCAGGTTTATTTTGTTTCATTTATTGTTTCTTCTTGCAAATTTCTGCTGAATTTAGTATTTTAGAAGTGTAACTGTGAGACCCGGAAGCCAAATTGTTTGTTTTGACATTGTTGAAATGTAAAATGATGTAGCAGTCCAAAAAACATGTAGGGTTTGCTTTTGTTAATTGTTCTCAAATTGTTATATTCAAAACAACAAATCAACAACTTTTGAGGGCTGTTTTATACCAACATGTAGTGATTATGCATTTGGTAAAGAAAACATTAGAATAGAAATGTTAATACTGGCCAAGTTTGGTTGGGATGAAAGCGGTGGAAAGTGACAGAAATGGGAAAAACATTTTTTATTTTTAGGTTGTTTAGCATGAAAGTGGTAGAAAGTACAATAAAGTTAATTTTATTATTAAGCATGTAAGAAAAATAAAAAAAGGGACCAAATTGGCTATATTTGGTCTACTTTTTAACAAAAATTGGTCTGTACGGTTTTAAATTTGATTTTTTTTTATTTTCGGTTCGGTATCGATTCAAGCACCTTATGCACCAAATAAATCAAAACCAATCGTTTCAACATATATTATATTTATAATCTAATAATATAATGATATTGATAGGTATAATAAATTATAAACTTTAATTAATTAACATTATCATCTTTATAACCTAAGTTTGTAAACTCTTATTATATATAATCTTAATTCTAATTCATTATTCTTGAAATTTAAAAAAAAAAATATTATTCTTATTTTTGTTAATTTAGGAATTGAAAAGTATTTATTAAATGGATAAATTGGATATATTTGAAATGGTAGGCAAATAACTAATTTAATGTTTTTATATAAATTAGTGATTATATTTAAAAGTAGCTCAAATTTGAAAGATCTTAAACCGATTAAATTGCACCAAACCAAACATTTCAATCGGTTCGATTTGGTGTGATTTGATTAAAGAAGCCGCCTGTATCGGTATTTAAAATAATAAAACTGACATTATCGGGTTGATATAATTTTTTATTTAAATACCGACCATACCGAATCGATGACATCCCTTATACAACTCCTGATAGCATGATCAGTAAGTTTCTAATTTCTTGCCAAAAAAAAAAAACAAGAAAAAAAAGAAAACCCAAGATGCAAGAAAGTTTAAATTTAATATAAAATAGTTACTAAAGCCTCATTTGGTAAGTGACTTTTTTAGTCAAAAAGTCATTAAAAAAACTAAAAAGCTAACAATTCATACCAAAAAGTCAAAGATTTCATTTTCTTTCTACTTTTTGTACATCTTTTCGTAAAAAGTTAAAAAATCATCCCAAACATACTAGTTTTTTTTACATCACATTTTAACCAAAAAATCAAAAAATTACTAAAAAAACATGTTCCCAAACGAGGCCTTAGGATTAGAATTCCTTTTTTCGTTCTCTATTGAATACTGATTTGTCAGACCCTTGTTGGCAGGACACCTTTGTCCAACAAGAGTTTGGATGGCTGCGTAAACCTTTTAGAATATGCTGAAGAATCAGCATATTATCTTCTTTGTTTTAGTTGCCGCGGTTTTCCTCACACAAACACAAAGTCAATCACTTAAATATAAATAAGTTCAAATTATTGATTCGCATGTAGACAGAGATATACCTATGTTCCCATGTCTATAAATTTAATTTGCAGTTTTTGTGTCCATGTTGATATGCGGCCTTTTGATCCATCTCCAAGAATTATCACTTTATTCTACAGTATTTAGTTGGTTCATAATAAGAATGACTTGCTGCACATAAAAGAAACTATATTTTGCAGGCATGAAGTTTACAAGCTTCACTTTCTATTTACTATGCTACTTAATCTTGAACTTTTATGTTATTATTGTTAAGCCCTATGTTGTGATAAATTGATCTTTGCGACAAAAGGTGTGTAGTCAACAACAGCTGTAGAGTTGACTGGGAACCAATTTAAAGAACTAAATTCACATTTTTAATTTGGTTACATGCATTAAAGAAATCGAGTTAATGCTTATATTCAATTAAAAAGATTGATGTCACTTCCTTAATTTATGAGATGTCCTTGGATTTACTTTTCCTCTGGTTTCCTTTTCACACAATGTTTCCCAGTGAGTTGCAGTTTCAGAATTTTCAGGAAATGGTGCTGGGATTTTGGCCTCTGCTAGCACAGTCGTTAGCACCTTCCTGCTTGTCTTTATTGCTGAAAGGGGTGACAAATAATTTTTCTCTACAATAGGTCACTGGTTAAGCAGGAAAAATCCTGCATTTTATTTGTTTGCAGACTTGAAGGGATGCAAATTACATATGACAGTTTGTGCAAGACAATCATTTAGCCTTTGTCGAATTCATAAATATTCAAGTCAAATGTGTTGTGCTTCTGTATGATGGCTAAATTTCTTAGATAAGATCAAAGATGAATTTGTTAAAACTGGTAACAATTGAAGCCACATTTTGAACTCCTCTTGGAGAGAATGTTTGAAGTCCATTCGATTTGTTCTCTACTGTCCATTGAGGGAAAAATCTATCCATGTTATTGGAAACATATAAATCATAAAAAACTTGTGTTATGATCGGATGTTGTAGTTGGATTGGTTGAATGGGTTGTTTCCTCTGGCCCCTGATAAAGAAAGATCTAGAAACTTTTAATTTTTAATTTTTATTTTTATTCTTACTTAAATTTTCATAATGTAATATGCAGGTCTAAATCTCCCTATGCTAACATAACTTGCTCTTCTTATTCAGCACTTGCTGCCGCTTCTTCACCTCTTGGAATCATTGGGGGAGCACTAGCTGGTCACAGAGTTGCAACTTTGGTAACTTCTAAACTTGAAGAAAAATTTAAACTCATCTTTGCATCAGCAACACAGCAAGTTCCTTTCATAACTGAAAAATCAACTTGCAGAATTTTTTGGCGAAGAAGCAGAAATACTTTAGTTTTGAAACATGCTTTTGGGTCTGGAAGATAAAACAGTGATTTGGCAACATGTGCAAATTACAAGTTTTTGGTTAAAGAAATAAAATACATGTTTTTCTCTTAATTTTACGATTTCAGTGACTTTAGTGGCCTGCGATTAGGCTATGTTGGCAAAGTTTAATAATGACAGTCTAAATATAATTGACCATATATAGTTCAAAATTTTAAGTTTTGTCAGACTTGGTAATCTGATTATTTAGTTATCATTCTTTTTTTGGGGGGGTTTCAACGAGCTGATGTTTACATTGATAGATCTGATCCATTAAAAATTGATTCATGCAGCTGGCTGTTTTGGGAGGTTCTTTACTGGGGACATTCTTATCTGAGAAGGTCAGATTTTCTCATTTGTCAGCCAAAAAACATCCTTAAAATATAGTAGTTTTGCCCAAACACATAAAACACTTGGTCATTATTACTCAGTCCTCTCTTGTTCTTAGTTGCAAGAAAGAAGTATGCAAATCAGATGGCAGCTGAAACATTGAGTTGCAGTCTCACAAAATGAGACACACATCATTATCAAATGTAACATAATTATCCTTTCGGCTTGATTATTTATCATTGTGGGTATATCATATTCTACCCGGATTGTGTTTATGCCCCGTTTGCAACCTGCACGACCTGATTAATCTGTTAGGTCTGAACCGTTTCTTGCTGTATTCTGATCTTAGTATATATTATCTGTTATTATGGGGATTAGGGGTATGAGATTGGAGTGAGTCCTTCTTACAAACAGCTTTGAGAGTGAGGCAGCTGCTCCTGACACCCCCATTCTTTGCTTGTGGACTTAGGCTTTTATAGATGAACTACGTGTATCTCATTTTCGTTTGTTCTATCATAACACTTGTGTATTATTTTCAGTTGCTTTTAAAGAACAAGTAACTAAGAGCTTTTTTATTTTTTTGAACATCAGAATCCAAGAACTTAGAACATAACTGTGTTTGTTTCGGAAAAAAAAAAACATTTTTCAAAAAATTTTATGTTTGGTTGTGATGTTAAAACGAATGTGCTAGCGGTTCTATTAGTGGTGGTGGTGGGTGGTCTTGCTAAGACTTTAGTCTGGAAAATTCAAATTTGAAAAATGTTTTCCACCAAAGAAGCTTGTTTTCCGTTGATCACGAAACTCATTTTCCGATACCAAACATCAAAAAATGTTTTCTGGGGGAAAAAAAAAATTGCTTAAAAAACAGAGCATAAGACTTGGTATTAGAACATTGTTAGTGGCAAATATGATCTGCCTACCCATATTCTTTCATTCCTGTCCTCGTACTTCAATTATATTATCTCCAAAATTCTTGTCAAATCTTCTTGTCTCTTTCACCTTAGGAACTTTGTACCCTTTCTCTACCTATAGACACCCCTTTCAGCCCCCCCCCCCCAAAAAAAAATAAAATAAAATAAAAAATATTCATTTTGGAATTAAAACTCAAGAAATGAATATGTTTAGAATAACAGGTTTGAAATAACTAATGTTGGAAATGAAAAGAAACCACTTACCTGGTACATAGAATCCAGTCAGGAGATTATTCTTTGGTATATAATTTATGGTTCACTGAACCTAACTATCCTCTACTTATATAGGAGATATTGGTGGGTCAACAGCAGTACAATAATGTCATGTAATCTAGGTTAAAAAAAAAAAAAAACCTTTATGCAATGGGATATGACCAGGTTGAACATCAAAGCTCAATATGCATTTTCCTCTGCTACAATATGCCATATAGTTAAAAGTGTTTAATGTTTCCAAAAAGTTAGCCTTATAGTGTAATAATATATGTCTTTATTGCTAGACAATTTTAAGTCTTGAATTGTTGGTTTGTGCAGGTTATATTGCCTACATTGGAGGTGCCTTTGCAGCTGTGACACTGATAGAGATGGTGAGTTGAGGACATCCTCAATTCTGCTGTTAGATCTTCAAATTTGCGAGCATCTATAAATTTGTTGAACCATCATTCACTTCCATGGATTCAAATAAGATCAGAAAATTGCATCAGAAAGTCGGTTTTCTCCTCGAGCTACAGATAGTATTGTATAGATAGTATGGATATTTAGCCAAAACTCTTCCATTAGACCCTTATTTGGTGAAAATGACAACTCAATTTATTTTATTTCATATACCCCTAAAGAGAAAACACATAATTGAGTAAATAACATATTACTGTTATTGTTTATATCAATTTTGGCGGTAATATTTTGTTTTATTTTCAGAATTTCGTAGTTAATATGGATGTTATTTGATAGATATTGATGAAAGATTTTAAAAATACTAATTTTATTAAAAACCGACATCTACATCAAAAGTTATATTATTTTAAAATTTAATTTTTGATAATAATGGTATGTGTTGGACTTTTCAAAGAAAACTTTTTATATGTGTCCTTAATGTATTAAAATTTTATTATGAGAGAGTTTTGGTCAAATCTCCCTAGATCGTATAGATATGAATGCTGGACTAGGGTAGATTAGTGATCCTTTGCTCCAACCTTTTTTTTCTTCAAAAATGTTTGAGGGCCCGAAATACTGTTGGCTCAAATTGGCTCGAAACCCAAAACGACGTCGTTTTGGGTTTCATTTTTTTTTTTTTCTTTTTCTTTTTCTTGCATTCGAACGCAGAGAGAGAGGGAGAAAAGAGAGAGAAGGTGAAAAGAGGGAAGAGAGAAGAGGAAGAGAGAAGACAGTGATGAAGGAGAAGACTTTTTTTTTTTCTTTCTTTCTTTTCTAGTGGATCTGGATTGATGATTTGTTGATGAATAGATTTGTAGATCTGGATTTGTAGATCTGGATTCGACAATTTTAATTTTAATTTTTTTTTTTGCTGTTGATGAATGTATGATGTTGATGTTCAGATTTTTTTTTTCTGCAAATTTTTGCTGGGTTTGTTTTTTGATGATTTGCTGGGTTTGTTTTTGTTTTGGGTTTTGATTTTGCTGGGTTTGTTCCTCTTCTCTTTTCTTCTTTTTCTTCTTCTTCTTCTTCTTTTCTTCCTCTTCTCTTTTTGTTGTTGATCAACGTCAAGAACAAAAAAAAAAATCTACAGATTCTTTCACATCAAGAACAAAAAAAATCTGCAGATTCTTTCCCCTCTGGGTTTGTTTTTGTTTTGGGTTTTGATTTTGCTGGGTTTTGCTGGGTTTGTTCCTCTTCTCTTTTCTTCTTTTTCTTCTTCTTCTTCTTCTTTTCTTCCTCTTCTCTTTTCTTCTTCTTCTTCTTCTTCTTTTTCTTCTTCTGGTTCTGCTCTTCTTCTTCTTCTTCTCTTGTTCTTCTTCTTTCTTCTTCTTCCTGTGAGAAAGAAAAAGAAAAAAAAAAAAAAAAAAAAATTTTAAAACCCAAAACGACGTCGTTTTGGATTTTTAGCCACATTCGAGCATGATTTATTCGGGCTCTGTAACGGGACTGTTTTTTCTTAGTTTGAGTTATGTTATGTTTGAGGAGTGCACTCAATCACATTGACAGGAATGGTATTAGTAAAGCATCTTTATTTCACCATTTTATTTTTGTGTCACTAATTAAAAAAGTGATGGGTTGTTTATTCATTACATGCCCGGGGAGTCGGGCCTTGTTTGTTTGTATTCTCGTTTTTCGTTTCTTGTATTAAATTTTCAAAAAACACATAAAATTTTTAAAAAATTATTTTTGAAATTTCAGAATCCAATTTTGTACAAAAAAAAAATTTTTTAAAAAAAACGATATAAAAAGGGCAAATGTTTTCAACTTTTATTTTATTTTTTAATAAATACATGAGAAATAAAAACACAGTTAAACATGCACTCATCTATAAAATTTAATTTTTTGATAATAATGGTATGTGTTGGACTTTTCAAAGAAAACTTTTTATATGTGTCCTTAATGTATTAAAATTTTATTATGAGAAAGTTTTGGTCAAATCCCCCTAGATCGTATAGATATGAATGCCGGGCTAGGGTAGATTAGTGATCCTTTGCTCCAACTTTTTTTTTCTTAGTTTGAGTTATGTTATGTTTGAGGAGTGCACTCAATCACATTGACAGGAATGGTACTAGTAAAGCATCTTTATTTCACCATTTTATTTTTGTGTCACTAATTAAAAAAGTGATGGGTTGTTTATTCATTACATGCCCGGGGAGTCGGGCCTTGTTTGTTTGTATTCTCGTTTTTCGTTTCTTGTATTAAATTTTCAAAAAACACATAAAATTTTTAAAAAATTATTTTTGAAATTTCAGAATCCAATTTTGTACAAAAAAAAAATTTTTTAAAAAAAACGATATAAAAAGGGCAAATGTTTTCAACTTTTATTTTATTTTTTAATAAATACATGAGAAATAAAAACACAGTTAAACATGCACTCATGTATCCTAAAAACTAGAAACAAACATTTTCGGCTAGGAATTGTGAAACATATATACCAAAAATTTTCACCATTCTTTGATTGGAAAGATAAACTAAAATATCAAAGAGCATTGATGTTTACACTTGTAGGGTTGAGTGGAGAGGGAGGGAGAGAGGTGGCAAATATTTTTTTACTGACGTGGCACACCACAGCCCATCCATCACCACATTTGAAGAGAGAATCAACAAAAAGTGTGTAATGCAAAAGATGGGGTTTGTATGAGGCACACCATTCTCACTCTTCCCTTTCTCATTCTCCCTTCCTTTTTCCTTTGCTCCATCGCCAACGGCAGCCCCCCAAACTCTGTTTGGTTCTGATTTTTCCAGTACAATTTGCAAAATTTTGAGTTTTTTTTTTTTTTTCATGTTTCATTATTTTTAGTAAATTTTTTTTTTCATTTTCATTTTTTAAATGTATCTAACTTAGATACACGCACGAAAAAAATTATTTCAATAAATGATAAAGATATACAAAAATTTAGTAAATTTTTGTATTTTTTTTTTTTATAGATTTCTTTATAAATACTTTACTTTTTAGGTGTTGGTAAGTTAGATGTATTTAGACAGCATAATTGGTTCAGTGGTCTATGTAATCAGAAGTTCAGAGTTTGAGTCAATGAAGTGAAGCGACGTGACGTGACTGCGGCCCGTGACTGCGGCCCTTTTATTGTACTCTAACTTATTAACCAGTTAACACCTTATCATTTGTAAAAAACAAAGGAAAAAAAAAGTTGAGTGTATTTAAAAAATTAAAAATAAAAATATTAAAGCATGAAAATCTAAAAAAATATTAGCAGAGGGACGTCATACAGATGTGCAGTTGTAATGGACCTCATTAAGATTAAAATTCATTAATATAACTGTTCTTGGTTTACCCAAAAAAGAAAAAAGTCATATACAATAATAAAGGTTAAAATTGATTGCACTGATATTAGTATGCTATTGAATTGGAATCACCATGGATGCCGCAAAGTTTTACTTGTTTTGTCAAAAAAAAGCTTCTCATTAGGGTTAGTGTTTCACTAGGATTGTTGTGGAAAGTGATTTGTATGCATTAATGATTAGAGGTACAAAGTAGAAGACTTTTTAATTAATTTTGAATTGTGTCAAGAATATATAAATATTTCATAGAATAAAACACCTATGAGAAACAAAATATCAGAATATACATGTAATTGAGAAATATGATCTTTTACTTATTTTCAAGAAAATAAAATAAAATTTTAGTTGTTGGAATATAATGTTTAATTGGACTCTATTATGCTTACATAAAAAGTTGGGATGTGCAAATTAGTCATATACATAATTGATAATTAGTATTTTAATTCTCAATACATGCTCTATTTTTTTATTAATAAAATATGAACTATAAGCCACAAAGTTAGCTTATCACCAAGGCAAAATGTTGGTATTATTCTCTTGCACATGTTAAATACATTGCTCATTAAAGTCAGTATATATTATTATTCACCCCCTCACATATTTTTTTAAATATGAAAATTGCATTATTGTTATAGGAATGCATAAATTAATAAAATGTTATTAATATTGGTTAACAAAAGACAAGCACTTTTATAAAAGGAATGTTAGAAATTTCAAAAATTTTATTAAAGTTTTTACCAAATGTCTCACATGGATGTCCCATGTGAGTCTCATACCCATGTGAGACATTTGATAGAATTTTTGGTAAAATTTTTAGAATCTCTAACATTTTTGCTTTTATAAAGAAATACAATCAAAATTATTGACAAGTGTGCTTAAATTACTTGTCAATAAAATTTAGGATAAATTGTACATCTTGATAAGTTTGGCATGATTATACCTACTTCCTTTTTATTAATGCTAAAATTACCCAAGCTAATGTAAATAGTATGAAGACACTTAGAATATACATTTCAGTATAAACGATATGATAATATCATTTTTTTTATTTATATAACTAATTCATTACTAATGAAAAAAAAGAATTAAATATTAAGTAAAAATTGAAGGAGCTTAATAAAATCATACAGAATTGTGAAATTTTTTGTTTCAAACCTCAAAAAAATAAGTGTAATTTATCATAAAATTTAATAATAATAATAATAATAATAGTAATGAGCACAACAAAACAAAACAATAAAAAAAAAAATGGAAATAGTATAATATCACGTGAATGGCATGTGAATGTAGAATCGCAATGCGCAGGAATCGAATCATGCCCTCATATTATTAAATCTTTGAGGGAAAAAAACAAGTCAAAGTGAATTAGAGACCGAGAAAATATATGGTTGATTTTTCTTACATAAATTGAGATTAAAAAAAATTGATAAATTGTTTATGAAGTTCTTAGAAAAAGAATAAAAACATAATCTGTTTGGTTGATTTTCAAAATTTGTTTTTCAAACAAAAATAAATAAAAGGAAGTTTGGTGAAAAAAATTATAAAAATATTCACAAGCACTCATTATTTTTATGTAATTTTTTCTTTTTAGTCTAGAAATAATTTTTAAAAAAATTAAAATACCTTTTTTACCTGTTTATTTTTAACATATTAAGTAACAAATTTCAAAACAAAAATCAAAAATAAAATTTAAAAACTCAATTATATGTGTACAAAAGTAACGCGTCTTCCTTAAATCAACACCATCAAATATCTAAGGATATACCCTTTCCACACACCATCCTCAACAGCTAATATCAATATATATATATATTTCTTTAAATTCTATGTTTGGCCAATGAAGGGTGTTTGTGTGATTGATCTTTTTCCAAAG